TTAAATATATTTTGTCTTTCTTTTCAATAGTTTAAATATAATGTGTCTGGGCATTAATTAATAGTTTATACTGTTTGGAGTTTGCTGAGGTTCTTGAATCTACAGGTTTGTGTTGTTTGTTAAATTTGGAATGTTTTCAGTGTCACGTATATATTTTTTTCTGCATGACACTCTTTTCCTTGTCCTGAAATTCCAAAGGCATCAAAGTTAGACCTTTTGTTATTATCTTACAGGTCCTTGTGGCTATGTTCATTTACTTCTCAAATTTTCATCTTTGTTGTTAAGGTTGGAATATTTCTCTTCATCTTTCTTCATATTTACTGACTCTCATCTTCATTTTGTTATTTAGCCCACCTAGTCATCTTCAAAATTTCAGTTATTTTATTTTTCAGTTATAACATTTCAATTTGGTTCTTCTTTTTTTTACTCCTTTGCTGAGACTTTTTATCTCTCCATTAATTTCAAAATTGTTTGTTCTTATTTATTGAAAGATGTTTATAATATCTGCTTTAAATTCTTTTTTAGATAATTCAAACATTCGTGTCCCATATTTCAGCACTGGTGTTGAGAATTTTATGTTTCTTTATGTGCTGAAAAATTTCAGGTTGTATCCTGGATATATTTAATATTATGCTGTCAGGTCTTATATCTTGCTTTAATCTTAAGGGGAAATATTGATATATTTGTTTTAGCTTGTAGTCAACATGGCTGGGTTCAGGTCACAAGTTTTGACCTGCTTTCTGTGGATCATGGCTCCAAAGTCAATTCGGTTTTCAAAACTTTTGCAGTGTTATTTAGATCTGTACCACAGGTGTTTTATCCAGTGGCGAGTCTAGGATCTGGGTGATCTGTTTCTTAGTTCAGTTATCACAGCCTTTGGTATTTTCTTTAAGATCAGATCTACACGGAGGTAGGTCAAGGTGGGTCTAGGAGTTCATACTGACTTTACAGTATTCTTTTCCCCAAACTCTTCACTCTTCACAGTCTTCCTGCCTGATACTTTGCAGTTTCTTGAAGTTCCCCATTTTGATCCTTTGACAAGAAATCTGAGTCTTTGTTTACTCCTCTCTGCTTTGCAATTCCTGCAACTTTGCCCAAGTCTGGGGCTAAGAGGCAGGAGGACAGAGAGAGATAAAAAAATGTCAGTGGGGTTTTCCCCTGATTATCTTGGAACCATAGCTACTCCAACCATAGAAGAAGGTTCTTCTCTCCCTTAGCATTTTAAGCACTTGATAGCACTACTTCCTCCATTGACACTGTCAAAGGGAGATTGCCTTTTGGTCAGGGTGTGAGAAAATTGAAAAAAAGAAAAGAATGGTGTACTTCCCCACTCTCTCTAAATTTTAAGAGATCTATTTTCTACTCTTACCGGTATTCTCTGTCCATGTCAGTGCCTCCTTCTGGGCTTTGGGCTGTTTTAACTCCAACGTAGTGACTAGTCGAGGGAAAAAATGGTAAACTCATTGCCAGTTGTTATACTTCAAATTCTGGTGTTCATTCCCAATTTACCTGACACAATATATGTTTTAGAATCCTTATATAGTTGCTCCATGCATTCTGTTCAGGTTTTATAGCTGCATTCAGTGGGAGAAAACAGGCTGAGTGTTATTATTCTTTGTTACCTGGAATCATAACCCTTGTATTGTATAGGCTAGTTTTCATACATAAATATGTATAGATAATGCAGTATTTTCTTTGGTGTATATTTGTGTTAGGATTAATCTTTTCATACACTACCTGAGGCAACATTTTTATACTATATATACTCTTCTGGATATCCATCACTATGGAAGACACCCTCAAAGTTAGTACCTTAAAATTGCATAAATCATTTTATTATTGCATAGATCCAGGCATTGATTAGGGGAATCTAGGTGTTTCTTTCTTGTGGTCTTTCATATGTTTACAGTAGGATGGTGGCTGAGAATGAAATAATTTGAAGGTTCACTCACTCATGCGTGTGGCATATAGTCTAGGAACACTAACAAAAGGAGGAGTTCCTGTGATGTCTGTCTCTATTGTTATATAGTTTCTCCAGCATGGCAACTTCAAGGTGTGTATATATATGTTTATTTATTTTCTACACTTATTGAGATATAACTGATATATAACATTGTAAGTTTAAGGTGTACAATGTATTGATTTGATACACTTATATATTGCAATATGATTACATCATAATGTTAGCTAACACCTCCATCAAGTCAAAGAATTAGCATTTTATTTTCTGTGGTGAGAACATTTAAGATTTTCTCTATCAGAAATTTTCAAATATACAGTATAGTATTCTTATCTATAATCGCAATGCTGTGCATTAGTTCCTCAGAACTTATTCATCTTATAACTGGAAGTTTGTACTCTTTGACCAACAACTCCTCATTTCCCCTACCCTGGGCCCTGGTAACCATCATTCTACTCTCTATTTCTACTAATTTAGCTTCTTTACATTCCACATATAAGTCAGGTTATACAGTACTTGTCTTTCTCTGACTTATTTCACTTAGCATAATGCCCTCAAGGTCCATCCATCTGTTCCAAATGGCAGGATTGCCTTCTTTCTCATGACCAAATATTCCACTGTGTGTGTGTGTGTGACATCTTCTTTATACTTTCATCCACTGATGGACATTTTCTGTATCTTGGTTATTGTGAGTAATGCTGCAATAAACATGGGAGTGCAAACATCTCTTAGAAATACTATTTTATTTTCCTTTGGATATATACCTAGAAGTGGGAATGCTGGATCATGTGGTAGTTCTAATTTTAATTTTTTGAGGAACATTTATACTGTTTTTCATAGTGACTGCACCAATTTACATTCCAACCAACAACAGTGCACAAAAGTTTATTTTTCTCCACATTGTCATTGGCATTTGTTAGCTCTTGTCTTTTTTTATCATAGCCATTATAACAGGTATGAGGTGATATCTCATCATGGTCTACATTTATTACATGGAAGCTCAGGGCTCCAAAGTGAGTGGAGAGCAAGAGAGTGAGAGTGAGTCAGGTAGAAACTAGGATGCTTTTTATGACTTAGCTTCTTAGCTTATGACAAGTTATGCAGTCTCCACTGCCACATTCTATTCCTTGAGGCAGTCACAAGGGTCCACTGAAGTTCAAGGGTGTGGGGACATAGATGCCCCTTATTGATGGGTGAGTAGCATGGTTCTGGAAGAGCATGTGGGATTGGAAATACGCGTATGGGCATTTTTAGAAAATACAATCTGCTACAAGTACTTTTAATGTAGCTCCTGAGTTGCCCTCAGTGTGCACTCTAGAAAGAAGTTCTGTTTTTGATTTCTGGAGACCCAAAGGGGTATAATATTAAATATTATGATCAATATGGCCAGTTTTCAGCAAACATGGATTTTAATGAGTCTCCAGAATTAGATAAAGTTTTCCTGTTGTTGTATAACTTTCCCTATGACCATCCAGGTTTTTAGTGTTTGCAATTTCATTGGAAACCTGCATGGAACTACAAGGTACAGTGGTACCTTGGTAATCCTCATTAATTCCTTCCAAAACTTATGACAAGTGCCAAAAACGACAAGTACCAAACTATGAAGCATTTTCTCTTGCGCGATGGCATCATGACTCATACAAGTTCTAGCAAGTGCGACAAGTCCCAAGCAAGCACCAAGTGCTGAAACATTTTTTTCCTCATCAAAATGTGACGAGTACAGGGTTTGGCACGTTCTAAAGCTGATGAATACCGAGGAATGACTGGTATATGGATTTTTCAGCCGCAGGGTGACTGTCTGGAGGAACAGGAAACTACCTAAAATCTAGATGAGATTCTTTTGCTTAAAGAAGGGCCTAAATGGGCTTGCCAGGGTGTTCACCTAGAAGGGAGCCAGGAAGGCTGCAGTGGTCCAAATATCTTTCCTACCTACTGCCATCTCTACCCTACCATTACTCCTTAGTTAAGCATTGCTTTCTTTAATGAATCCTCTTAAAAATGCAAACACCTCTGGGAGAGAAATCTGGGCAGTTGGTACTGATTTCAGAGTGGTTCAACAGACACTTTAAGAGTACAGTGCTAGGCCCTGGGAATTCAGTGATTATAATTTAGTTTCTCTTTTCTTTCTTGAACAAGGTAGATTGAAAATTCTAGTTCCTGAAAATTTGTTCCAAGAGGTTTTATTCTCCAGAGTCCACTTTATATTTTTTTCCAGAGCTGAGCCTTGTCCTAAGAATCATCCAAGAAGACTTCCTGGGCTACCGTAATGTCAATGTAAAAGTAACACGACACCCCCACCCCCAGCACCACCATTCATCTACCTGGAATGGCAAGTGTTCAGTTCCTTCAGCCCTCTTCCCAGAATAAGAAGTGAGTCTATTTCTCAAGTGGCGAAGAATATATTTTAATGCTCTCTGCTCATTCCGACCCCTTGTGGGTCTTCACTTAGGGACAGAGTAGAGCAGAGGTTTGAATGAAACCTTGCAGACTCTGGGAAGCCCCGAGAGTTGGCAGGCACTATGAGAGATGTGGAAAGAGAGCTGTAGGGGTACCTCGCTTCCTCCAGGGTCCCCACTTTACTGAGCCCAGGGGGGCTACACAGTGTCTGAGATGAAACATTCCGCAGTGGCCCCAGAAACAAGACTGAAGACCCCTCGGGGGCACAATCCAAGCTGAAGCTTCTGCCAGGCAGGCGACCTCTGGCGTCCGGTTTAGGATACGTGGCGGCGAGGGCTCGGAAACCCGACCCCACGACCCCAGTCGGCCTGGCCAGGCACCAGGACCGGGGAGGAGCACAGAGAGGCCAGGGGCTGGCGGCCGGGTCCGTGAGTCGGGTGAAAGCCAAGCCTGGTTCGGTGGCCCGGCTGAAGGTGGGCAGGGCGCGGCGGGGGGCCGAACAGGTGCGCGGGCTTGGCGGGGCGGTGCTTGGGGATCTTGCGCAATGCGCGCGCCCCTCCCCCGATCGGGCTCCAGCAGGAGGAGGAGCTGCGGCTGCCACCACCGCTCCGGCAGGTCTGCTGCTCCCAGTCATCTCGCTGACAGCGCGGGCTGCTGGTCTGCACGCAGGAGGCGCAGGCGGCTCTGGGGCTATGGAGCCTGGTGGTGGTGACGCGGCACGCTTTGGCCTGGGGTGGGCAGCCCATGCGCTGCCACCGCGGCTGCTACTACTGTTGCTGCTGCCGCTGTTTCTCGGTCGGGGGCTACGTGTCGTGGCCGCGGCCTCCTCCTCTGGGGCGGCGGCTGAGGACAGCAGCGCCATGGAGGAGCTCGCCACTGAGAAGGAGGCGGAGGAGAGCCACAGGCAAGACAGCGTGAGCCTGCTCACTTTCATCTTGCTGCTCACGCTCACTATCCTCACCATCTGGCTCTTCAAGCACCGCCGGGTGCGCTTCCTGCACGAGACTGGGCTGGCCATGATCTATGGTGAGCACCCCGCCCGCGCCCACCACCCCGACACCTTTCCGGCAGCTGGGCCACTGCGTTCCCCTTCCCCCTCGCCGCGCTTCACTGTACTCCCCCTTCACTTGCAACGTGTTTTGTGCCTTTTTCTTTTCCCGCTGGGACGGTGTTGGTTCCCAAGGTCAAGTATCTGCATTTTCTGTTTTTCTATTACTGTTGAAAAGAATTCCACTCCATTTCGACGTTTCTCAATGGGGAACCAGGAAAATGAAAGACACAAAGGTGGCCCGGTTCTGTCCATCGGGTTCTGACTTGCCCCTCACCCCATCACGCCCCCCGGGCCCCTGCCCCAGTTCAGCTCAACAGGGTGTGTGTGCCCTGTAGGGTGACTTCCCGGGGAACTGCGCCATCCCAGGAGGCAGGCCACAGTGAAGGCCGGGGCGAGAGTTGAGGGTTTCTTGACTTGGGTATGGGCTGGGGTGGCCTGGTGGATGCCACATCCATGGTCAATCTGTCTGGATGTCCACTTCTGAGATGTATTTGTGGTCTCTAGTTAATAATGTCAGAGCATGAAGCACTGTGAAAGGTGAATGTGGTTCAGGACCTAGAGTGGTACCCAGCCATGTTGGACCTAGTCCAGGAGATGGGCACATCTTCCATCCTTGTGTCCAGGTGGGAAGTTATGCCCAGTAACTTGCCTTCTCCAAGTGGAGAGTTTTTATATTCCTCAGATTGTAACGTGGACACGACTTTGAAGATGCATTTGTGAATGTATGAAGAGGAAAAGTAATGGTTTTAATTCTGGAGTCAGCCTTCTTTTGTTGTAAAGGGTGGACTGTTGCCGCCATCCTTTTCTGGATTTAATGGCACATGGTGTGCCACATGCACAGTGGTCAGTACAAATCTTCTGTCATTCCATGTGTCATTTAGCCATAATCTGAATCATCCTTTCTCCCCCACCATGCCCTCTGAATCCCACTCTATCACTCCAAACTGGAAACAAGTATTCTATTTTTTAAATTTAATTCAGTAGAGTTAGGGCCCACATTGGCACGCTTATTTGAAATAGAGGAGCCCACCTCATGACCAGTCCCAAGAGGCAGCATTTTACTTTATCACTTATACTGGAGAGATTGCTCCATTCAATTTCCATTCACGGTTCCCTGATAGAGAATGGAAAGAAGACACCTTAATCTTTAATGTGAAAATTACCCCTGGCCCTGGGCCTTGCTTCTCATGGTTCTTGATTGGTTGTTGACAGCCCAGGCTCATGGCCACAAATGTTATGAAGTGCTTTCAGGAGGCCTCAAGTTTTCAGGGGATAGTGGCCGCGACAGGTCTTGAATTGAAATAGGACCAGGTCCAAAACTGAGTATGGTTCTTGCAAATTACAGGTGTAAATACAAACTTTGGCCTTGATACTTGGTCATTCTTGAGTTCTGTGGTTTGTGTCAGTTGGTGATAAATGTTTGATGTCAGGGCTGCATGTAAGCTAGGAGGTTTCCTGAGGAGAGAGCAGAGTGGGGAGTTAAAGCACATTGTCATTTCTGGTGATTGACTCTGAGCCATAATGCAGATGAAGATTGCCTTTATATTATATAGACAGCCTTGAAAATATTTTTATTTTATAGCCCTTATATCCAATTTATTAAAGTACAATGTAAAATATTTTAGAAGGTAGCTTTGACAGACTCATAAATACATGCTCAAGTGCATGGAAACTAAATGGGGGGTTTAAAAATACATTTTCTGAGGAGTACTCGATGTTCTTGGGAGCTCAATTACCTTTATTTTAAGGCTTAAAAACAGCAGTGGAATTTTCCTTTGCTGATACATACTTTTTAGACTCATCACAAGCTTTTAGTCATTGGGGTTGTGCTACAGTGTTTTATTTTGTGTCACTGAAATCTGGTTTAATCGGTGATTGTTCAAAAATGGCAACATCATTTCATAGCATTCCATGTAATTTTTGTACTGTGTCTTCGGGTTTTAGTGCTACTTTAAAATGTATTAAGAAATTTAGTTTGTCAATATGTAGTGTCCTAGGTTATGCCAAATACTAATATTTTGATGTGGGTTGCTTATAATGGTGAAAAAACAGTTCTCTCTCTCAGAGATATTCTCTTCTGTTTCAAGAACCCCCTCCCCAACCTGAATTCTAATGTTATTTGATTAGCTAATTATTCATTATATACTGAAGACTATTGAAATTCTGATTAAAAAATGCAGTATGAAAATCTTTGAACACTTAAGTGAATGGAATACAGGTTTTCAGGGCTTCTCTTTTTTAATAGTAAGAAATCAGATTGCATTTGTTGAGATCAATAGAGGAAGTGAGTAATTGTCCTGTTGCCTCTGAGTAATAAAGGACAAACGACACAAGGAAACACTTCAGTATCTGCTGCATGCTGGGTGCCCCGCTTCATTTCTGGAGGTAAACAATTTAACTTTTAAATATGAGCAAATTTTTATGAGTAAAAGGGTTCAGCTGTGAATTTTAAAACTCTTTACTTTGAACTTTAAAAAAATCTAATTTCTGCCACTTTTAAAATATCGAAGAGGTACTTTAATCTGAGTGGGAAGGATTTTATATATAAATATATTAAAATAAATTGTGATAATACATATATTTGCTAGTATAGTCATAAAATATATCTGGAGGAACATGCAATAGACTGTCAAATTGTTTCCCTGGAGCAGGGGCAGTGGTAAGAACTAGGTAGCTGTGACATAGGGGTGGGAGGGAGACATCACTCTGTTTACTTTTGTGCTATTTAATTTTTGAACTATGGAAGTGTGTCTCTGCCTTCATTTTGTGGCATTTGTGATGGTATTTTAAGGTGCTCCTCAGATCATCCAATTTGTTGCCCACTTCTCCTTATTTAAATCACATTATGTTGTCAATTTTCTGTGAGCTTTCAATTGTTGTCTATACCTGTGGAGCTTCTGGAATTGAGACAATATGGAGAAAGGGGGAGATATTTTCTATCTTATCCCTCTTCTTTTTATCCCATTATTCCCAATGAATAGTTACAGTAGGAGCAGTGTGGACAAATAGATCCAACAGCTAGCACTTACTTTGGTGCAAAGGACCTAAGGACAGTAAGAGACAGATATACTGTGAATGCTTACCATTTAAATGGAAAAGAACTTCCCCTTCTACCAAGAGAGAGTTATAAGCACTCCTCCTTGACAACAGCTCCAGTCAGCTACAAGGGAAGGTGACCACAGACCAGACTCCAGGGAAGTTGAAAGCAGCACCCCAGACCCTGTGTTGGGAGCTGCGTGGCAACAGGCAAAGCCACCCGTCTAACCTGTTTTGTCAGGGCAGGGAGCTCCCCCAGCTGCCTGATTCTGTAGTGATTAAGTGCCATCCTAAAGTTACTGGGCACAGCATGTCTGTGCAGCAGAAATAGCAAGTGTTTGAGGCAGGGAAGGCTGGTATAAACAGACTGTGTCAGTTGATTGTGGTTCTCTCTCATGTGTACAGTAGTTCCACTTCCCCCATGATGTTTTTGTGACAACTGATACGGGTCCAAAATACCACACTTGGCCATGCTAGTCTACCACCTGCTTCTTGTTTCCCCCCACTTTGTACCTATCAACTTTTCCAAGCCCCTGCAGGTTCGGTGGCTTGTGGGCTCACTGTTGCTTTGTTGGAGCTGGATTACTAAGCACAGACTGAGAGTGGGTTTACAGGCAAAACCTGAAAGGGGAAAATATGACTTTTCGCAGTAGCATGAAATCAACATTCAAGCCTGTGAGCAACCATTTCGGGACCACCTTCTCTTCCTGGTTAATCAAAAGCCCTCATTTTTTAAAGAACTCATTACTTTGGCCCTAGTTTGGGGCAGCTCCACAGGGTCTCACTTTGATACCAGATTGCCTGGGTTCAAATGGTGGCTTGGTTACTTATAAAGCTGTATATAATATTGGGTACACTCTCTGGGCCTTAGTTTACTCTTTTAAAAAATGCAGACAGTGTTACTTACCTTACAGGATTATTGTATGAATGAGATACTCTAAAGGTCAAGTGCAGTTTCTGGTACTTAAACACTTGGTAAATATTAGTTTTCATTCTCACTCTAGACTTTGTGATTCTTTGGCCAGCGTTGCTACCTGAGACTGGTTCAGTGGAGGCCTGCTGTAATTCAACAGTACATTAGGATGCAGTTAGGGGGGGTGAGGAGAACTGTAATTTTTTTGTGGGCTATTTGTTAATACTTAGGAAAAAGAGGTGCGATGTATCTACCCTACCCTTTTATCCAGCAGTCTCAATTCTTAGACTTTATTCTTCAGAAATACTTGCATTAGTATGTTACATTGCTTGCACTGCAGTATTTGTTGCAGCAGAAACAAGTTGCAATACTCATCAAGAAGAGACTGGTTACATTTTAGCACATTCCTGCTAAGGAATAATATGCAGCTGATAAAAAGAGGTATTTTGGGGTCTCATTTTAAGGTACGTGTCCATACATACTGTTGTGGTAAAAACTAGGCACAGATCAGTTATGTGTAGTATAATCTCATTTAGTCTTTAAAATTATGTAATGTATTATATGTACATAAATATGACATGTAGACATTTGTATATGACAAGTGTGCTTCTCTGGAAAGATACACAACCTTAGCAGTGGTTATATTTTGGCATTGGGACCAGTTCTTGGGAGAGGAGGGAGATGTTACTTTTCTCTCCATACTCTTCTGAATGGCCTGAAATTCCTATGACACTGACACATTACTTTTGCAACTGAAACATTGTTTTAAAATAAAACAAATTACTTTCATGTAGTAAAAAATATGTTAGAAACAGATTATTGTTATGTGGTAAAGTAGCATTATTTAAAAGTTATAAATGGAACTAAAATGTGTGTTAAAGTGGGAAAAATGACATTTCCTGAAAGTGTTTCTTAGAATTTTCAGAAGTTAACCTTTTTAGAATAATGTAATTAGAAAAATCACCATTTTACAACTCCCAATGATAATTGATTTAGGCAAGGATTTTCAGTGAATTGAGGAGTTGT